GGGGGGGCGGGCTGAAGACATTTGTATTAAATCTATTCTACTTGTACTAGAGTACAACTGTGATTCATTATTTATTGGCTGTTTTTCTGACAGGGGGCAAGACTTGAGGAAGGAGGTTACGCTACAGCAGCAGCCAAGAGTATCTTTATGCTCTGTGGGAGACCATTCTGCGATAGCTTTCTTGATCCCAGGCCAGGTAGCTTTATGCTGTCCTCCCTCCTCTTCCCCAGCAACATTAGTGCTGACCTCAGAAACTCCACAGCAGGGCTGGCTTCCCTAAGCCAGCAAGGGCAGCCCTCAAAGAGGAGGAAAATGTGTTTCCTTTTTCCTTAAACGGCTCCTCTGCTCCCCTTTTCAAGGGGCAGACCAGTTCTTCTCAGGCAAACATCAGCATCTTGGTGGTGCCTGAGTGTTTCTGTCAGCAACAGCTTCTACACTGAAAAACACAGTGCTTCTTTCCACAGCACTGGTAATGCTAAACATTCCTGGGACTTTATGGTAACAGCAGCACTACCTTAAAGCCAGTACTTCTGGGCAGCAGCAGATGTCATACACCATTTGGTTCCCTTTTCCTGGCTGATGGCAGGCCTCTCTTTACCTATCATCACAGCCCGTCACCTGCTAACTTACAGCTGCACGTGTCTAAATACCCACACTTGTAAATTGTACGTCCTGACTTTAATTAAATTTGAATATAGCAAAAATAGGCAGGAGCAGATTCTCAGCTGACATCATTCCTCTGGCATCTCCCTGCTGTCGATGGAGTTAATTTACATTTAGTAACATCCTAGTCTGCTGAAGAACGTGATTTCCACATCGCGTGCTTTTGGAATGCACATAACAAACTCAGTGTTTCCTCTCCCCCTTTTGTGTGCTGCATACGAGCATTCAGCAGACAAGTCTGAGCACTCATTTAAGATTGACAAGGACTGAAGAGCCACATACATCCTAGGAGAAAAAAACCCCACAGTTCCATAATGCATCAGCCTTTGCTACCCAGCTCAGACACTGAAGGAGGCCTCCAGCACGCAAGGTGGTTGAGCATGTTTAGCTTTTCAGATCTGGAATAATTTCATGGCCTGAAAAAAAATGCTCAGGTGAGAGGGACACCTGGGTTCCCACCTGAATCACAGACTCAGACTGAAGTTCCTTCACCCAGAGGTGCCACAAGCGCTGTGGTAGAGATGGCTCACCTTTCACACACGCTGTGAAGGTACAAACAACTCAAATTCTTCCCAGGTATGGCTGTGAGGATAATACAGAGAGTAAGTGTGTGTGTGTGTGTGTGTCTTTTGTACCATCATAAGGTTGATGCTATCTATTAGTCAATTAAAAAAAAAAAGAAAAAAAGAAAAAATAAAAGAAATAGGAATTATACAAAACCCTCTGAATTCTCTAAAAAAACCACTTGACCGCTCTTTGGCAGATATTAATCTCACTTGCTGGAGTAGATGAACTGTCATCTGTGCAACCTGTATTGAAAGTTTCCACTAAGCTTTTAATTTTCCATTTCTACTTTTTTAGATCATTACTCCCCAAACTGCTGACTTCTTCTGCCCCATCCCAGCTGAGTTTCGTGTTGCAGCTGGACTGACAATTAACTCAGCAAGAATTGTAAGTGAAGCTCTTAAATGACTATAATCACGGAAAGAGGAAGATTACACTGTGAAGCAGCTACACTGACTTCAGATCTTCTCCAGATTCAACCTTACAGAAGCTTCTGTGTGAGACAAGGCTGCTCTGCGTGAGTACAATGCCTCCTCCAATTTACCCATTTTGGCCACCTGAGATGTTTTCCCCCAGTTTGATTACCCAGAACATAGAAGGGAAGCCAAACACAATCTAGGGCCTGATTCTCTTCAAGTCAATGATATGATATTCAGGTTATATGTTTATAATTAAGAAGCAGTGATGTCAGCTATGTTAATACATTAGTTTCACCAGCTCCAGGCTGCTATAAATTATCGCATTTTTGCCGCTTCGTTATACCAGTACGGTGTGTGTTCTGCTTGTTTGCTTTTGTGTGGGTCAAAATCCAAATGTTCTATAGTATGTCTGAGGTTTTGTGGTTCCGTTAGCCACTTCTCTTCGGCAGCCATGCTCCTTCTAGCCAATTTTCTGTCTGTAGCCTTGCCAACTTCTTCCTGAATCCCTCTGTATAAACCATACCCAGAATAAACTATACCATTTCATTCCTGTTCCATCCACTTTCGGGCAAACAGCCAGGTCTCAGTGTAGTCAGTTTTTCCAATTGTCCCTCCCCACAGAGGAGAAATCTTGCCATAATCGTTTTTAAGCTCATGGAGTAACTCTCTCTCTAGCTCTAAAACCACCTAACACCAAAATTGCAGTTCTCCAGTCCCTGCTTTCTCCTGCACTAATGAGTCCCCCACCAAAAAACTTCTTTTTTTCCTTCCTATTGAATTGTGTCCCACCAGTTCAGACTTTCAGTTTTATGAGGGTTCTCAGTTGGGGGAAAAAGTCCCTTCACGGTTTTCTTTCCTGGCATGCAAAAAGCTTGCTTTCATATGCTCTCTGTGAAATTTTGTGCCACATTCCAAACCAGCTTCCTAGATATTATAATCTATGGTCAATGCAGAACTCAGTAATGCTTACAGATACAGATGTGTAACTTTATTTTTTTTTTTAAATTTTATTTTTTATAACCTATGTAATCAGGCAGCAGACTTTTCTAATCAGACTACCTTGAGACACAGCAGTTGCTGGACAAGGACCAAACCCAAACATCTGCTGCAATAGATTCTGAACAATCCATTTTTTTCTGAAATACTGCAAGCTAAGTTATTTCTCAGAATATTTTGTCTTTGTAGGAGTGACCTTGTAAACTGAGGAGAGGGGGTGCTGGCTTCTGACATGCAGCAGAGCATACAAGTTGAGCAGACAGAATAAAGACAGAATTACCTACACTTTTATAATAGTGTATATCTCCCTGAAATCCTTTACGATGTTTTACCAGTTCATTTAACACAGCAGCAAAGGAATATGCTGTCAAAAAGTGCTAAAGAATAGAGCAGAGTGAAAGCAGGACTGCCTATTTATTAACGGGCATACTAGGACCCATAAACAACAGGCCAGGATGGAGAAGGGCACGCTGTGTACCTCTAAGTACATACTCGGCATCCTGTGGGCTTTTATTATAATATTGTGCTCTGCAATGGATATCCTGCAACACCTGAAAGCAATTTGGGGGCCAGGATCTGTTCCAAAACCAACAGGGGGGGAAAAAAAAAACCAACAACAAAATACTGAAACTCATGGAAAAGGTTCCCCATATTATAAGACTGCTAAAACTGCTGCTGAAAGAAACCTCAGTTTTCCTGTCTTTGGCAGATTATGCCAAGTCATCATTTATTTTCCCAAAGAATGGTTGGTCTCCACACTTGAGAATAAAATTCCCAAAGAATGGTTGGTCTCCACACTTGAAAATAAAAGAGTGAGTGATGTTAGTGACAATGAGGTATGGTAGCACCACAACTAGCAGGAAACTGAAGGAGATGCCTGAGAGAGAGACGGGTCAAAACTGGGGTAACAGGTTTTGACCAGAGCACTTTCCTTCGGGCTGAATGTTTACATAGACATAGAAAGGCACAGAAGAAAAAAGTCTTCTTTCAACATGATAGGACAATCTTCACGCTCCAGCCAACACCATGCCTTTGTCCTAGAAGGTGCTATGGGCTATTTTGGCAGACTGTACTTGACTGGTGGAGCGTGGCCAGGCGTGGTGTGGACCACATTAGCCTCTGCCTGTAGAACACACGAAGGGTAAGTGTCTCAAGGATAAGGATAACAAGGCCAGAGTTAATCCACTTTCATCTGCAATGTTCATCTGGTTTCTGAACCTCACTATGGCAGTATTTTTAATACTCATGTTTTGCTGGTCATACAGAACGTACTGCAATCATGCTTATTCTGCTTTGCTCTTTTTCCCCTTCGTTCCTAATTAACACCCTAAGCATAGAATAGAAAATATGCTCAACTGTATTCTGGTACCATCTGACTTTCAAAACAAAATTCACTGGTTTCAGAGAGGTAAGAAACTTTTGCCAGCAGGTACACAACATAGCAAGCAATGCTACAAAAACTGTTGGTGCAACAATTAGAAAATGATTTTTAGTAATGACCTTGGAAATGCTCGGGGGCCTCTCTTGGAGTTCACTGAGACAACTACGCTTCAAAAGCTTCTCTGAATAAAAAGCCCCTTTACATGTTTCTTAAAAGTTCCTGATGGAAGGAAATTCCATTTTCCAAAACCCGTAACTCAACTAAAACTCAGTGTTAACCTCCATAAATGGTAGCTGCAGATCCTTCTCAAACAGTTCCTGAGCTCACCCAACTCTATGTGTGAGACAACAATAATTTCAGCCATAGCTGAAGTGCTCCAGCAAAATCCCTTGTGCAGGCTGAAACAGACACTTCTTAGCATTAGCAACTTTCAGAGTTAATGTTTACTTCTGTGTTTATATATCCCCTTCTAGTTTTTGTTTTAATTTCTACAAGTCATTTCACAGAGGGCCAGTCTCCATTACTGCAGCAGATGGCAAAAACTGCTGAGTAGTACAGAAAAAAACCCATAAAAACTGTTTTATGTTCTACATGTACTACATGTTTTAGAAATAGGGCAGAGTTGCATAGAATGGAATATTGTTTTATGGAAACTACTCCCATAGTTTGAATTGCAGTAGCATTCCAGCTCCTAATCTCTTAGTTGTCTAGACAGGGCACATAATGCACTTGTCTTTAATGAGATATGAATTAATTTGCCTTGAAATACCTCAAAACCTCTGTAATGCTTTCCAGCGGAG